GTTGTTGCAGTTGGGCTACTGCCTCTTCCCCCCCTGTTTATCCTTTCTTTTCTTACTACCTACTATCCTCTTTGGAATATTGCATCCTCTATTACATTAATTAGTTTTGTCTGTAAATGCAATGATGTGAGGAGGCAGTTCTGTCACCTGTTCTTGCATCTTGACCCCTTTATTTGTAAAGCATTTCATTACCAAATTATTATACTATTCATTTCTACTGGCCTGCTTTGTTTCTTCTTGTGGAGATAGAGTCTTCCTTTGGGCTAGTCCTATTCTGGAGGATGGCATTTGTGAGTGTTGGTCTAGTCACTCAACTCTCATTCACAGCCAGTCTTATTTCCTTGCCAGTCTCATTACTATTTTGCTGTACCCAATCATCCTTCTCCTTACACACAGAAATCCACACATGTGGATTTGTTGATCTTCTCCTTCCTTGGCCTTGCACCTTATTGCCCCCTAATGCCATTCCTTATCCATCTTACAATTCCCCTGTACTTTTCGTATTTTCCTTTTTCTTCCTTACTCATGATCTGGTCAATGAACACCTGGCTGAATCTTCCTCCATTCTCCAATCTTTTCTTTTCAACCAATATATACTTCCCTAGAAGACTTTTTTTGGGGAAGGTACCTTTGACTGGTCTTTGCTGTCCATGTTGGTCCCTCTCAATTCTATACAAGTTTTCTGTAACTTGAGTTGCCCCATTTGCCCCATATAATAATTGACTGCTTCCTTTCACCCTCTTCTTTAGTGCAGTTCACTAACTGTAAAGGTTTTTGTTGGCTTTCGATAAAGGTTCAGGACAGACTGTAGCATCGTCATTTTCATTTTGTTTCAAACGTGTGCGTTGCATTATTTGTTTCGGTCACACTATTGCGTCTTATTCTCTGCACAAGGCTGATAGGAATGACTGCATCAGAACTGAAACGTCACATGTCCGAGCATTCTGATCTAATCCTTCACATGTCCGAGCATTCTGATCTAATCCTTCACATGTCCGAGCATTCTGATCTAATCCTTCACAATTCCTGTACTTATAGTTCAGAGTGTCAAGCAATTAACTTCAAACACAATGACCTGATACATGATGGGACTTCTATTTTCTTGGAATTATCTCAATCTTCATCTGTAAATTATACCTGGAGTATATCTGGAATAGGTTCTGGGAGTTCTTCTACTCCCCAAGCCCAGCATGAGGCCAGGCATGAAAATGATTCTTCTGTTCTTGGGAGTGGTGTAACATCACCAACACTCTTCCTTTGCATATTTCCCATATAATTCACAGTATTCTTGTAATAAGTCCCTGACTGGATGCACAGATTAGATACACCCGCACTTGGCTTGAGATGATAGTAAACAGTGGACGGCATGTGTCAGCAGTGTCCTCACTCTCACAGCAAGGAGACTCATTTCAAGCATGGCCATGATGCTGTAAGTACAAGTGTGCAACCCCATATTGAGACCTGTGCAGCCAACGGAACTGGTCGCACTGCAGGCTAGCTATTTGCATGTACGAATAATGTACGTTAGCCACATGGTTGCATTTAAGCATGTTTATAACTTAGGGACTCCCTGTATAGACACTTGTCCATTATAACTTAGGGACTACCTGTACAGACACTTGTTCATTATAACTTAGGGACTCCCTGTATAGACACTTGTCCATTATAACTTAGGGACTCCCTGTACAGACACTTGTTCATTATAACTTAGGGACTCCCTGTATAGACACTTGTCCATTATAACTTAGGGACTCCCTGTATAGACACTTGTCCATTATAACTTAAGGACTCCCTGTAGAGACACTTGTTTATTATAACTTAGGGACTCCCTGTAGAGACACTTGTTTATTATAACTTAAGGACTCCCTGTAGAGACACTTGTTCATTATAACTTAAGGACTCCCTGTAGAGACACTTGTCCATTATAACTTAAGGACTCCCTGTAGAGACACTTGTTCATTATAACTTAAGGACTCCCTGTAGAGACACTTGTTTATTATAACTTAGGGACTCCCTGTACAGACACTTGTCCATTATAACTTAGGGACTCCCTGTACAGACACTTGTTCATTATAACTTAGGGACTCCCTGTACAGACACTTGTCCACTATAACTTAGGGACTCCCTGTACAGACACTTGTCCATTATAACTTAGGGACTCCCTGTACAGACACTTGTCCATTATAACTTAGGGACTCCCTGTACAGACACTTGTCCATTATAACTTAGGGACTCCCTGTACAGACACTTGTCCACTATAACTTAGGGACTCCCTGTACAGACACTTGTCCACTATAACTTAGGGACTCCCTGTACAGACACTTGTCCATTATAACTTAGGGACTCCCTGTACAGACACTTGTCCACTATAACTTAGGGACTCCCTGTACAGACACTTGTTCATTATAACTTAGGGACTCCCTGTACAGACACTTGTTCATTATAACTTAGGGACTCCCTGTACAGACACTTGTCCATTATAACTTAGGGACTCCCTGTACAGACACTTGTCCATTATAACTTAAGGACTTCCTGTACAGACACTTGTTCATTAAGATGGTTGGAAAACAGGTTATATGGACACAAACAACATGTAGTTCTAAGTGGTAATGTGTGAGGTCTGACAGACGTATCAAGTGGTGCCACAGGAGTAAGTCTTCATACCAATTTTGTTCGTGACTTGCATAAATTATATTAATAATATAATATTATTGTGATATTCAATATCACAATTTTTACATAACAATAAGCAAGAAGCAACGTTAAAACATCAACAACGCCAGAAATATTACAACCCAGATTAAACTCCCCTTAATTAATTGGACTGATACCAGCAGATCAGACCACAGAGCTAAGGATATAACATCAACAGCAATTAGTGATAGTGGCTAGTGATAAAAGCAGTGTAAGCAGAGCACTGAGGCTGTAAAGTAGGGCAATCAAATATTAGGCTTCAATGGGAAATCTTTGGAGATTCAATCCAAGAAAATAATCCTCAATATTCACAATTCACTAGTACATTTTATTCTGGAATACTGCACACTTATTTTTTATCAGCCTATTCGAGAAGGAATATTGACAAAGTGGAAGATGTTCAGCATAGAATGAGAAAGATATTACCAAAACAGAATAAACCATACAAAACAATTGTTGAAATGGTGAATTTATTCAATTTTCAAAGCAGAAGAATAATATGCAATTTATTACAAGCAATTTAGATTTAAGGTTACCAAAGTTACCTTGCTTGAAATGCTATGCATACTAGTGGCTTTAGGTATTGTATATACTACCTCTATCTTTAAATCAAACAGAATGTTTGTACTGTAACTCTGCAACTATGTATGTACTTTTCCTAAATAAATTATTATTATTATTATTATTATTATTATTATTATTATTATTATTATTATTATAAAGACAATCTCAACTACGAAAAACTCTTCACTTGTTTCAAAACCAGCTGTCAAATCTAGCAGGATGCTACATCCAGACTCGACTTTTCCCAGACTCTTATAACATGAATATGTAGTATCAAATTCTACTAATTGTCCATTACATCAATATACAATGGATCACACAGTTACAAAAAGTATCACCTAAACAGGAGGATGGGCCGCCAAATTCACACAAGGGCATCATAAGACATAAAAAGCATTTATAAGACCAAGGTTTTATAAAGTTCTAATATCAAAATATATACACACCTGTCTTTATATATATGCCTATATATTTATCTTGGCTTAATATACAGCATCTCATACATGACTGATTTCATCTGAAGTTTGATCATACCAGTTTAAAATCTAAACAAATTAAAACACGCAATACTTCTATTACAGTATTATTATTATTTATTATTATTATTTTAATATATATATATATATATATATATATATATATATATATATGTCGTACCTAGTAGCCAGAACGCACTTCTCAGCCTACTATGCAAGGCCTGATTTGCCTAATAAGCCAAATTTTCATGAATTAATTGTTTTTCGGCAACCTAACCTACCTAACCTAACCTAACCTAACTTTTTCCGCTACCTAACCTAACCTAACCTATAAAGATAGGTTAGGTTAGGTTAGGTAGGGTTGGTTAGGTTCGGTCATATATCTACGTTAATTTTAACTCTAATAAAAAAAAATTGACCTCATATATAATGAAATGGGTAGCTTTATCATTTCATAAGAAAAAAATTAGAGAAAATATATTAATTCAGGAAAACTTGGCTTATTAGGCAAATCGGGCCATGAATAGTAGGCCGAGAAGTGCGTTCTGGCTACTAGGTACGACATATTATATATATATATATATATATATATATATATATATATATATATATATATATATATATATATATATATATATATATATATATATATATATATATATATATATATATATATATATATATATATATATATATATATATATATATATATATATATATATATATATATATATATATATATATATATATATATATATATATATATATATATATATATATATATATATATATATATATATATATATATATATATATATATATATATATATATATATATATATATATATATATATATATATATATATATATATATATATATATATATATATATATATATATATATATATATATATATATATATATATATATATATCATACATACATACATACATACATACACACATACACACAGTATATATATATACACACACACTGTAGTAACAGCAGATACATACTTATACTGAAATAAATATTTACACAAAAGACTACAAATATGGAACTCTTTGCATAAGAGATTACAATCAATGTATGCAGATGGCTACAAATACGGAACTCCTTGCATAAGAGATTACAATCAATGTATGCAGATGGCTACAAATACGGAACTCCTTGCATAAGAGATTACAATCAATGTACACAAAAGAACTATACATTACAGTACTGACTTGACTCAGTATTCACAAAGTCTGTGGCACGGAGTCTTACCTGCAGTAACTGTGTTGACTTCACATGTTGAGTCTGGTTGAATCTTGGCTCGTGATGTGAGAGGCGAGGCAGTGGCAGAGGCGGGCCCCGAGGATGACGATACCGCCCCCACGCTGCCCCCACCCCCTGCTCCTACGCTAACACCGCCCCCGCTACCACCTATTGTGCCATTGGTCTTGCCCGATCGAGTGGCCTCTTTCACTTCCTGGAATTTTTCTATGAACTGTGGAGTCAAAAAGAAACAAGCAAATCTCACATTCAATACAATACCAGATACAGAACTTATACAGTACAATAATATGATGTTCTGATGTGTAAAAGTTTGGTCAAAGTTATTATGTTTAAACTAAGTTACTTACAGACTTGTAAGTAATATCTTGTTTGGAATGCAACATTTATAAGTCCTAAGAAATAAACCACAAACTGACCAAAAAATAATGATCAATAAATAGATATACAGTATGTCAAGAATAAATCATCACAATCCAATGATTTAAGAATGTATTACAAAAAAATAGCATTGAATGTAATGAAACTTTGTCATTATTCAGATTTATGGAGTTCTAGGCCTACCAGGGACCACGAGCTAGAACCTGGCCCCCTCAGAGAGACATGAGGAGCAATGGCCTATAGAAACCACCATATGGTTGGAAGTATTCTATGTCTGCCATCGATCAGGATAGGCACCCAGAAAGGTAAGTACCTCAAAACAAACTCCTATTCTGGTTAAAACAAATAAATAGACAAACGAATGGACAGAACTTCCCAAACGAAAACGAGCAAACAAGCATGACATCACACGAACCGTGCCGCACGTCTCCGCAGCTTCCCCCCTCCCCGGGAGGGGGAAGAAGGAGCCCCAGACCCCTTGCACCGGCAATCCAACCCCCAGTTCTTAGGCTGGATATCAAAACACGCGAAAACAGTGCCGACCGGGGGAAGGGGGGTTGCCAGGGAGCCTCCAGGTCTCACCCAGAAAATGGCATTTTCATTACATTCAACGCTTATTTTCTAGTGGAAGCCCCTTCGGCTCCCCGGGGCTACATCACCAAAGACAAAAATAAAATGGACTTACCCAAGAGAGGGTCAGTGTTCGCACCTCAACTCGAAGTCGAGACAACTGGCTGCAACTGCCGACCCAAAGCGACACAGGCCCAACTAGGCCTAGGAACATTCATGAGGTAGTGATAATCCACTAGAGTTTAGAGCTATAACTTCGGTAGAGAAATTCGAAATATTTTTTCTCCTATGCAAAATCAAGATCAAAAACCACATCTAGTATCGGGCCCCTGCGAAAGGGAGATGGAACTTTCACCGATGACAACAAAGAAATGAGCAAGTTACTGAGGAAGCAGTACGACTCTCTCTGAGCCATTAAATGCACTAAAGATTGATAACCCAAATGAATTTTTCATGGATATGATACCAACATCAAATCATATATCAGACGTCACCCTATCCCCACTGGATTTTGAAGAAGCCATAAACAGTATGCCTATGCACTCTGCACCAGGCCCGGATTCTTGGAACTCCATATTCATCAAGAACTGTAAAAAACTACTATCGCAGGCCCTCCACATTCTGTGGAGACAAAGCCTAGATACTGGCATTATTCCTGATATACTAAAAACAGCAGAGATAGCACCACTTCATAAAGGAGGAAATAAGGCAGAGGCAAAAAATTATAGACCGATAGCACTAACATCGCACATTATAAAAAATTTTGAGAGTGCGCTAAGAAGTAAGATCACAAAATACATGAAATCACAGCATCTCCATAACTGGATGGCACTGGTTGCCAGTTCCTTGATTTATAACACTGCTTATTTGCCTGTATTATCCTAAGGATTTTCTGCTTAGTTTCCGGCTTGCAATAGTTACTCTATCACTTACTTTATTACTAGTTCCTAAATCCACATTCCTGTATTACAATATATATTGCCAGTATATTATAACAGAGGGAGTATACTGTCACTGAGGGATGTTCCATACACTGTGTAGGCCTCGTGGCTATGGTTGCAAACACTGCCTAGTGTGATGCATCCTCATGCCACAAGTCCACAATTTTACGTATCTACTTTTTCTATGTGCAATTCTCCGACACTTTCCACATATTTATGTGTTGTGTTACACGTTCCATTTCACTATTCAACGTATCACCGTTCGCTACATGTGATATATATCGCCTATATGCATATACCCATGAGCCCGGTGGCACTGGACCATCATGTAGTCCCACGTTTTGTAGTGTGTACCCAGAAACACCGCAGAGGCAAAGTCCCAAAAGCGCTTAGCTGAAAAATACAGTGAAGCGTGCACAGCAGAGGCACGACCCAGGAACTCTAGAGCAGTCATGTGGTCTCGACCACATACCTACTGGTTACCTTGCAATGATTTTGGGGCTCAACGTCCCCGCGGCCCAGTCCCCAACCAGGCCACCTGGTTGCTGGACTGGTCAACATCAACATGAACATCAACTGGATGCATCAGCATAAGAACTGAAGGCTCAAGCCCTTGGAAGTTGTGGGCCCTCCCCACCCAAACATGTCTCGTACTGGGTAAGAGGCCAGTGTACTGGTGTTGTACTGACATGATGGAGCTTATGTCTCGTACTGGGTATGAAGCCAGTGTACTGGTGTTGTACTGACATGATGGAGCTTGTGTCTCGTACTGAGTAAGAAGCCAGTGTACTGGTGTTGTACTGACATGATGGCACTTGTGTCTCATATTGGGTAAGAGGCCAGTGTACTGGTGTACTGACATGATGGAGCTTGTGTCTTATACTGGGTAAGAGGCCAGTGTACTTGTGTACTGACATGATGGAGCTTGTGTCTTGTACTGGGTAAGAGGCCAGTGTACTTGTGTACTGACATGATGGAGCTTGTGTCTCGTACTGAGTAAGAGGCCAGTGTACTGGTGTACTGACATGATGGAGCTTGTGTCTTGTACTGGGTAAGAGGCCAGTGTACTTGTGTACTGACATGATGGAGCTTGTGTCTCGTACTGAGTAAGAAGCCAGTGTACTGGTGTTGTACTGACATGATGGCACTTGTGTCTCATATTGGGTAAGAGGCCAGTGTACTGGTGTACTGACATGATGGAGCTTGTGTCTTATACTGGGTAAGAGGCCAGTGTACTTGTGTACTGACATGATGGAGCTTGTGTCTCATACTGAGTAAGAAGCCAGTGTACTGGTGTTGTACTGACATGATGGAGCTTGTGTCTCGTACTGGGTAAGAGGCCAGTGTACTGGTGAGGTACTGACATGATGGCACTTGTGTCTTGTACTGGTTAAGAAACCAGTTTACTGGTGTTGTACTGACATGATGGCACTTGTGTCTCATATTGGGTAAGAGGCCAGTGTACTTGTGTACTGACATGATGGAGCTTGTGTCTCGTACTGGGTAAGAGGCCAGAGTACTGGTGTTGTACTGACATGATGGCACTTGTGTCTCATATTGGGTAAGAGGCCAGTGTACTTGTGTACTGACATGATGGAGCTTGTGTCTCGTACTGGGTAAGAGGCCAGAGTACTGGTGTTGTACTGACATGATGGCACTTGTGTCTCATATTGGGTAAGAGGCCAGTGTACTTGTGTACTGACATGATGGAGCTTGTGTCTCGTACTGGGTAAGAGGCCAGAGTACTGGTGTTGTACTGACATGATGGCACTTGTGTCTCATATTGGGTAAGAGGCCAGTGTACTTGTGTACTGACATGATGGAGCTTGTGTCTCGTACTGAGTATGAAGCCAGTGTACTGGTGTTGTACTGGCATGATGGCGCTAGTGTCTTGTACTGGTTAAGAAACCAGTGTACTGGTGTTGTACTGACATGATGGAGCTTGTGTCTCGTACTGAGTATGAAGCCAGTGTACTGGTATTATACTGACATGATGGCACTTGTGTCTCATACTGGGTAAGAGGCAAGTGTACTGCTGTTGTACTGACCTTATTGAGCTCGGCCTCAGTGGAGAAGCCCAGACCGTAGACTGTGTTGGCTCTCATGTCCGACCACTGGCCAAACTTCTGTGAAGTCTTGGTAAACATCATGTTGGGGGTTATGGTGCTGTTGATCACTGCCTGTGAGGAATACATGCATGTTAATGGTGTCTTATGACACTATACCCTCTCACACTACCCTCCTACACTGTATCACATGTCTTACACATGCATAATACTCCCATACTCCACCTCACTCATACTGTATCACAACAGACCTGTACCCTAAAGCCCACATGAAGATATCATTACACACAGAAATCACATTAACGTGATGCATCAATGAACAAAGGTTGTTCATTCATCAATGAACAAAGGTTGTTCATTGATGTATCACGTTATTGTGATTTCTGTGTGTAATGAAGGAAGGGCAAAGGTGTAGAACGGCCTATTGACATAGCTCGAGTGCATGGGGGAGTTGTGTAAAACCCTGGTTTGTGTCTCGGGGAGGCTGCAGGATCCAGCAAGTTCAGTAGAACTTCGGTTTCAACTCTTTTACCATGTCGTAGCTCAGTCGATTAAGGCAGCGTCTGGGATGCTCACAGACGTAGGTTCGAATCCTCGTCACGGCCCTTGTGGATTTGTTAAGAAGATATCATCAGTGGCAAATGCTAGATTGGCCAGCACACACACACTGCCTTTTTAAACTTGTGTAAGGAATCATTTAGAACTTTGTATACCACATATGTCAGAACAATCCTGGAATATGCAGCTCTAGTGTGGAGTCCATATCTAGTCGAGCACAAGACTAAATTGGAGAAGGTTCAAAGGTATGCCAACAGACTAGTACCCGAGCTGAGAGGCATGAGCTATGAGGAAAGATTATGGGAACTAAACCTCACGTTGCTGGAAGACAGAGGAGTTAGGGGATAACATAATCACCACATACAAGATACTCAGAGGAATTCATGCAGTAGATAAAGACCAATTGTACAGGTAGTACATGCACAAGGGGACACGGGTTGAAACTTAATACTCAAATGGGATCCAGAGACATTAGAAAGAACTATTTCAGTATCAGAGTAGGTAACAAATGGAATGTACTGGGCAGTGATGTGGTGGAGGCAGACTCCATACACAGTTTCAAATGTAGATATGATAGAGCCCAATATGCTCAGAAATCTGTACACCAGTTGACTGACGGTTGAAAGGCGGGACCAAAGAACCAGCACTCAATCTTCACAAGCACAATCAGGCGAGTACGTGCATAATAGTCTCATAATCCACCTCTGTCACACTAACTAACTTACATTGTATAAAACATACTGTACATTTCATTTACTCGGATCATCAGTGATTTGAAATCAGGACTCAAAAGCACAAGATCGTTGTCCTACCTACCAGGCCAAGGATGCTCACAATAAAGAAGGGTCTTTGTAGTACCTAAATGAGACTTTTAAGCTTTCCCCGGAGCATCATTAAGGTATCTGGCAGTACTGTTCACATCTTTCCTTTATGAGAGCATCCATGGCCTGGTCACTATGGGAATGGTCTTATATTTTGAGGCCAAAGTTTGAATTTCTGATGGTCCGAGTAAGTTAAATGCTATTATCCAGGCTAGTGTGGAATGCATCTTATACACAAAGAAATCACACCACCGTGATACATAACAATGAGAGAATCAATTAATGCAGTGCAGTGACCTGAACCATCAATCTGAGTGTTCCCAGCCGTGCACCTTACTCTGTACCACAACATACCTTACCTTAAAGTTACCTTGCTGTGATTCCAAGGAATAACTTCCCAGTGGCCTCCGACATTTGAATCACAGCCTGGTTGATCAGGTCTACTTTGGAAGCATTTGTTGAGTTCTCTTTTGAACACTGAGAGGTTGACCAATTATGCACCTTACGTATAAAAGGGGAGTGTTGAGCAGCCTCTGATGTTGATAAGAGTTCTTTCTCAGTACTGTATACCCATTGCACCTCTGCTTTTCAACAGAGTTATTTTGCACTTACTGCCATGTCTCCTGGTCTCATGTGATGTTATATATGTAAGTAGATTTGGAACTAGCCACTCTAATATTTTCCAAGTGTAATTCTTCTTCTTCATCGCAATACGTGCAGTTTGCATGAAGGTATATCCTCCCGATGACTGCATGAGTGGTAATGTAGAAAGATGCATATATGACAATGCACAACAACACATCAATGGTCACGACGTGCCAGAGTCAAGAAGATAATGACACTGTCAAGGCGGGCGAGGATAAAGGCAAAGTAAACAAGAGGAAAGGAACGTAGGATGCGAATAAAGAAAACAGAAGGTGAACGCAAAGCGTCGCCGCAGTAAAGAAAGCGAGGGGACGGAAGCAAGAGACGAAGGGTGGGGGTCAAAGGATGTGAAGGAGGCAAGTGCGAATGTGAAGAAGGGTTATCTTGAGGTTATCTTGAGATGATTTTGGGGCTTTAGTGTCCCCGAGGCCCAGTCCTCGACCAGGCCTCCACCCCCAGGAAGCAGCCCGTGACAGCTGACTAACACCCAGGTACCTATTTTACTACTAGGTAACAGGGTCATAGGGGTGAAAGAAACTCTGCCCATTGTTTCTCGCCGGTGCCCGGGATCGAACCCGGGACCACAGGATCACAAGTCCAGTGTGCTGTCCGCTCAGCCAACCGGCTCCCTGGTCGGCTGATCCCAGGGTAGAGAAAGTCAAGACAGAACAGGCGAGGTTAGGACAGGGCAAGGTACGTAGATGGCATCTGGAACCTCAAGACTGGGACGCTAATGCATCGGACTCTGCAGAAGAGCCAGCAGGACAACAGGAGGAAGACCTAGGAAGGGTGTGAGGACAAGTCGTGGGAGAACGTGGTGTAAGAAGCCTATCAGGCAAGGTGGCAAGGTGCATGGAAATCGGGACGACGGAGGATTGCTTCCGCTTAGTACTGAAGGGGGGGGGGGGGGGCAGAAATGTGCAGCAAGGCAGCCTGGGGAGAGATACAGGGAAGGCTCGCCAAAGAGTTCCAAAGGGCGTTGTCCAGTATCGATTCAAACGCATTGGAGATAGCAGAGGCAGCTGCGGGAGGATGGACGGACTGCAGAAAGAATTTAGTGACGAGGCAGACCTGCACCATCTCGAGTGCATCCATAACACGAGTGACAGAAGCATCAACAAGATCGGGACTCAGTTGAATGGCGGGTAGGAGAGAAGAAGTGTCAGGGGCAAAAGAAACGTCAGTGACAAATGGGTCAGGCACTGGCAAAGGCGGCAGCGCAGGGGAAAGTGGCGGGTGACAAGGAACTGGGGCAGGATGAGGCAAAGCACGATGGGAGGGCGGAGTGACGACGGGAAGAGCCTTAGTGAGTGCCGCAACATAGGAAGGACACTGCTTGAAAGTGATGGCATGATCACCACCACAGTTGGGGCAACAGAGCTTGTCAGACTCAGTCACGAGTGAAATGGAAACCAGAGCATTTGCCACAATGGACATCATTGGTGCAGCCATGGGAGGTATGTTGAAAACCCTTACAATGAAAGCACTGAGTGGGACGGGGGAACGTACACCTCCAATTTATGGAGGAAGCCATTAATCCAAACCTGATCAAGGGGTAAGGGAGTCAAGAAAAGTAAGGAGGGCAGTGCCGGTATCACACAGGTCGCCATCAATTCTACGCATAAATTTCTTGACACCAAAGACCGGAATGTCAGTTTCCTGCAGTTGCGCCTTGATGTCCTCCGCACTAATGTCAACAACATGCAGGACCACATATCGTACCAAATGATCACCCAGAAGCGTATAACAACGGACTTTGTAACCACAGATATCAGCAATGTTCGAAAGCATCAAGTCACTGGAGGAAACGTGGTCCACAGCAATCAAGTTGCTTCGTTTATTCGGCTTGAAATCGTGCACCTTGATCTTAAAGAATTCGTGAACGGTTTGATAGAAAAGACTGTCTGCCCTACTATTTCCAAAAATACTGCGATCAGCGGGCGTATCAGCATCAAAGGTGATGATGAACGTACGTAGGCCAGGAGAACTCATCCAACCGGGAGGAACTGGAGGGCATGGAGACAGAGGTTGCGGGAGTCACAGGGCACTGCAGGACGCAGGCGATGTTTCACCTCCAATCTATTAGCCTTACTATGATGTTTACTGTCCAAAAAAACACCCCCAGGATCCCCCTCCAAAACCAGGAGAACATAGTGACTGGAATGCGTGCTAAGGGACAATGGGTCCTGAAAACCCTAAAAGGTATCGGAAATGTCCACGGGACAAAACGCTGCGCGAACCACCATCCGTCGCCATGGTCGGTCGGCAAGTCCAAGTGTAATTCACCATGTCTCTCTATAGCTTGTACTCTAGTGAATATAGATTCAAACATTTTAATCATTCCCAATAATTTGGATGTATTATTAAGTGGATTTTCGCAGCAAAGGTTCTTTGCATGTTCTCCAGGTCAACAGTTTCTCCAGCTGAGAATGGGGCTATTAGTGTGCAACAATATTCTATCCTAGACAGCACTAGTGTCATTAAAAGTATCATTGGTATGGTATCTCTTATTTGAAAGGTACTTGTTATTCAATTTGCAATTTTTCATGCAGTTATGACAGCTATTTTATTATGTTCTTTAAAGGAAAGGTTTTCCGACATTACTCCAAGATCCTTTACATTGCTCTTTCGTTCTATAATATGATTTAAATACATTTTATATGTGCTTTCTGCTTTTATTTTTTGTTTTCCATAGCGCAGGAACTAGAACTTGTCTTCATTAAACATAACATTATTTTCTTTCCTTTCAAAGACCTGATTTACATTAGATTGAAGGTTTGCTGTGTATTCTATGTTGTCTACTGTCAACAAAATCCTAGTGTCATCTGCAAAGGATGAAGCAGTACAATAGTTTGTGTCCTTGTTTATGTTCGATATGAGAAAGTATACAGTGACACCTCGGTTTACAAATGTCCCTCTTTACGATTTTTGCGGGTTACGAGCCCAATTTCTTTGTAAAATCTGAATCGGGTTACGAACTTTACCTCAGGAAACGAAGTTTGTTGATACACATATGGCCAACCTTAGGCATGGTGATATGGTGACTGCGCCTCAGTTTACCAGTATCTCTCGCCTAGTGACAATTGCGCCTGAATTCTTTGTAAAGAATTTCAGTGTTTTTTGTATTTTTGGGTTATTTGAACATAAAAGTTATTATTATTTATCTTGCCATGGGTCCCAAGGAAAGCCAGTGCTAAGGTTCAATCCTTAAATTGTTGCCTGAATGTGTTCCAGAACTAGACTTTGAGGGCTTTGAGCCTGAACCTGAAGTGCCTATTGTTGAGGAAATTGTTACTCTGGGCCGGAAATTGGGCTTGGAGTTGGATGGTGCTGATGTGGAGGAGTTGGTGGAGGAACACAGCGAAGAACTGACCATCGAAGAACTTCTAGCCCTTCACAAGGAGCAGCAACAAGAGGGAGCTGAGGAAGTGTCTGCTGGTTGATACCTGGTTGATGGGGTTCTGGGAGTTGTTCTACTCCCCAAGCCCAGCCCAAGACCAGACTTGACTTGTGAGTTTGGTCCACCAGGCTGTTGCTTGGAGCGGCCCGCAGGCCCACATACCCACCACAGCCTGGTTGGTCCGGCACTCCTTGGAGGAATAAATCTAGTTTCCTCTTGAAGATGTCCACGGTTGTTCCGGCAATATTTCTTACGCTTGCTGGGAGGATGTTGAACAACCGCAGACCTTTGATGTTTATACAGTGTACTCTGATTGTGCCTATGGCACCCCTGCTCTTCACTGGTTCTATTGTGCATTTTCTTCCATATCGTTCACTCCAGTATGTTGTTATTTTACTGTGTAGATTTGGGACCTGGCCCTCCAGTATCTTTCACGTGAATATTATTTGATATCTCTCGTCTTCTTTCTAGAGAGTACATTTGGAGAGCTTTGAGACAATCCCAATAATTTAGGTGCTTTATTGCGTCTATGTGTGCCGTATATGTTCTCTGTATACCCTCTATTTCAGCAATCTCTCCTGCTCTGAAGGGGGAAGCGAGTACTGAGCAGTACTCAAGACGGGACAGCACAAGTGATTTGAAGAGTACAACCATTGTGATGGGATCCCTGGATTTAAAAGTTTTCATAATCCATCCGATCATTTTTCTGGCTGATGCAATATTTGCTTTGTTATGCTCCCTAAACGTTAGGTTGTCAAACATCATTATTCTCAAATCCTTTACATGTTGCTTTCCTACTATGGGCAAATTTGATTATGTTTCGTACCCTGTATTATGTTTAAGGTCCTCATTTTTACCGTACCTGAGTACATGGAATTTATCACTGTTAAAGATCAGGTTATTTTCTGTTGCCTAGTCAAAAATTTGATTAATATCTGCATGAAGTTTTTCAATGTCTTCAGCCAAGGTAATTTTCATGCTGATTTTTGTGTCATTTGCAAAGGATGATACAAAGCTGTGACTTGTATTTTTGTCTATATATGATATGAGAATAACGAAAAGCAGTGCAGCAAGGACTGTACCCTGAGGTACAGAGCTTTTAACTGCGCTCAGACTCGATTTTATGTGATTGACTGTTACTCGTTGTGTCCTGTTTGACAGAAAACTGAGTATCCAGCGTCCTACTATACCGGTTATTCCCCATCGACCTCATTTTGTCTGCTATCACTCCATGGTCACATTTATCGAATGCCTTTGCGAAATCCGCGTATACCACATCAGCATTCTGTTTTTCTTCTAATGCCTCAGTGACTTTGTCGTAATGGTCAAGTAGCTGTGAGAGGCACGATCTTCCCGCTCGAAATCCATGTTGGCCTGGGTTGTGAAGGTAATTGGTCTCCATGAAACTGATGACCTGACTCCTAATCACTTTCTCAAATACAGTACTTTTATGATGTGCGATGTTAGTGCAACTGGTCTATAATTCTTTGCCAATGATTTGCTCCCTCCCTTGTGTAGAGGGACTATGTCTGCTAATTTAAGTGCATCTGGTATCTCCCCCGTGTCTAAGCTCTTCCTCCACGCTATACTGAGTGCCTGTGCAACCGGCACCATGCATTTCTTTATAAATATTGAATTCCATGAATCTGGACCTGGAGCTGAGTGCATGGCAGTGCATGGGGAAGAGGAGACAGTGCAGAATGTCCCTTCCTCAACAATTAGAAAGTGGTGTAGACTATGGGAAGAAATGCAAACTTTTGTTTAAACGACTCACCAGGAGCAAACTGTAGTAGGATGTGGCAATAACCTTTTTAATGACAATGTGATGCCTCACTACAGACAAGTGTAACAATGAAGGGAAAACAAATGGATAGATTTTTAGTGAGAAAATCAAGCAGTGAGCCACAAGCAGGTCCTTGTAGTATGCAGGCAAAACGTGCCAGAGAGAGTACCCCAGAGAAGTCCTCACTGCCAGATGTTATAATGGAAGAGGACTCCCCTATCAAACACTAACACATCTCCTCCTCCCCCCCCCCCCCTCCTCACCGTCTTCCATACGCCAACAAGTCATCAGTAAAGGTAAGCAATAACTTGTACATACTTTAGTACTGAAGATTTGGGTGAATTAGGTATAAGATTGACTTTGAAGTTAATTTTTGGAGAATGTGGAACAGATTAATTCAATTTACATTACAGTATTTCTTATGGGAAAATTTACTTCAGTTTACAAATTTTCGGCTTACAAACTGTCTCTGGGAATGGATTAAATTTGTATGCCGAGGTACCACTATATACTGGAGCATGCACAGTACCCCTTGAGGATTGAGCTTTTCATGAGGGATGATCTGGATTTTACTTTGCTCGCTATTACACACTGGGTTTTGTCAGATAATTGAAGATCCATCTTCCTATTTTCCCAATAATTCCTTTTCAACGCATTTATCGAAGGCGTTTGTGAAATCTGAGTACATCAGCATTTTGCTTGTCTTTCATTGCATCTACCTGAAGTATATCTGGAGAGGGTTTTGGACATTCTTCTACTCCCCGAGCCCAGCTTGGGGCCAGGCCAGGGATCTAAGAACATGTCATAGTGGTCTAGCATTTGTGAAGAGCAAAATCATCTAGTTCTGAACCCGTGTTGTATAGGGTTATGTAGTTGCTGCGACTCAATATTATGTAACATTACAGCTTGTATAACTTATAGCATGTGGTGGTACAGTGGTAAGATGCATGGCTGGGAGTGCCCAGGTCACTGGGTTAATTCACTGCATTGCTCCAATTGATTTTCTTATGCATTTTATACACTTATAATACTAAATTGTGTATTATAAGTGTATAAAACCCATATTTTATACATATAAAATGTGTACTGTATATACAAGTACAGTATTTAATATAATAATTCATTGTGTCGGCAGACAGGAAGCCACAGTGTATTCATACACGTTAAGCTTTTATCGAAAGACAGAGAACTCCCGAAACGCTCTACAAGTATGCTCCTGAAATCCTATTGCTCGTGCTATTGCTACCTCATACAACACATATATGCCTGGGAAAATACCTAGAATAAGTTCTGAGAGTTCTATTCTTCCAAGCCAGACCAGGCTTGACTGTTAGTAACATGGGCTTGCAGGCTGCTGCTGGAGCAGCCTGAAGGCACACTTATTCATTACAACCGGTTGGGGAGTAGAAGAACTCCCAGAACCCCATTAAGCAGGTATCAAGCAGGTAACCTGGATAGTCCCCTCACTTCATGCACCATACGCTCTCATGTTTATCAACACCTCCACTTTTACCACAGTCCTCATCATAGCCTCATGCACAATCCACAATAGAGTCCAGACCACAGACTGGACTGTGGTCGGGAGAGAGACGAGTGAGGGAGGTCGTACCTTGGTGCCCTCGACAGAGATAATACGATAGAGCTGCCTGGTGGAGTCGTAGAAGAAGGAGACAGAGACAGCGGAAGATGAGGCCGGGATCCACGACCTCTTGGTCTTGGGATCGATGTGGAAGACGTGCGCCTTGCACGAGAATATGGGTTGCTCCCTGCAACAAATAAATTACACAATTAGTAATCATAAATGCCATTTTTATCACACCAACTTTTAACAAAAACATATGTTAGTTTATGAGGAGTAATATGTGTAGATTATACAAGAATAAATCGCATAGTGATATCAAAACCCACAGACCAAAATACAAATACATATTATAACCCACCCAACATATACAAGTTCCAGGTTCTCGGGTATGGTGGAAACAAGGAACTTAATGGAAACACAGAATACAAGAAACAGACATTATCATACAAGAAAAACAACATGTAAAAGATCTGGAAATAATGAAAATAATAATGAGCACAGGCTCTGGTAATGAGTTCATAACTGTGAGGCTGACCCCTTGCAGTGTTCAAGAGAAAACTTGATAAACACCTCCAAAGAATACCTGATCAACCAGGCTGTGATTCATATGTCAATCTGCAAACAGCCGCATCCAACAGTCTGGTTTGACCAGTCCAGCAATCGGGAGGCCTGGTCGGGGACCGGGCTGCGGGGACATTGAGCCCCGAAATCATCGCAAGGTAACCGCAATGATAAGGTATTTAAGATCAGGAAGAGAAAGTGGAATATGTGGGAGGGATAAATGGAACAGACTGTGTACCATTTACTCACAAAAATACCGGCAACAGAGGATGAATGAATGTTTGACTGAAAATGCAGGGAATATCATTTCGAACCAAGAAAGCCGTAGAATTAGGGATCCCAGCAAAACCTGAAGGGGAAGAGAGAAAGGAATAGCCACAGATGTGACCAAGACGAGTGCCAAGCAGCAACTTCTGGAGACCCCACACAAACGATGAAAACTTGAGTTTATGTAAAATTACATGAACTCCAGAAGCTGGAGTTCATGTAAATTGGCATAAAACCATGTATATTTAATAGAAGAATTAACATAGTCAAGAACAGAAAGAACAGTAAAAAAAAAGAGAATGAGAACATTAAGGCAAAGAAAAACACAGCATATTAGGGAGGAATCAGAAGCAAGTTCAGTGAATTCAGTGTGTGGGGCCCGATAGGTAAATCCAGCAAATATGGCAAAGTCAAGAGAGTAGCAGGAAGTTGACTAGGCGAACCAACAAAGTTTGGTAATGGAGGAGACCCTGTGGAGGGGGAATTGAAGAAATGGAGATGAGGGAGGGCAGAATCTGCAGGAAGCTCTGGATCAAGGACAGCACCAGAGGAAGAACTCAAGGGATACAGGAATTTCCACAGCAAGGTCAGCTGACTCCACCACCAAGATGAGAGGAGATGCAGGGACAGAATTGGAGGTGGAGATTGGAGGATGGAATGAAGCCTTCTTAGCCACTGGGCAGGAAGGAGAGGAACCAGGTTTACATTTTTGACTGAGAGACACAAGCGTGCCAGTAGCAATTTAATGTGTGATGGCCTCCATTGTCTCAGGCAGAGGGAGAGAACGAGAGCGGACAACACAAAGACGGCTGGAGGAGGATGGATGTCGGCCTGGATTGCCAATTGTCAGGGAGGACCAAAGGACAGAGGGAAATGCTGAGAAGAAAGATAAGGACTCAAGGTGAAGGAGGTTACAGTGGATAGAGAAGAGGGACGAGGGGGAAGAGGGTACACAAATATGACAGGCAGGAGAAGATTGGGAAGGAAGGGGTGTAAACACATGTCTGTGGTCCAGGAAGAACATCTTTGACTGTAGATTGCAGATGAATAGAAGAAGGGGAGCTGGTGGAGGTGTCGGGGTTTAAGGCTTGTTAAATAGTTGTGGGACTGAAGATGGGAAGAGTGTGATGGAATGCACGAGCATAAGTCATGTCACAGAAAGTTTAGACATTGGACCTGGAATCTTGCCTAGAGGAAAGATATACAGTACGATCATTATGTTCTAAGTTGAGGATGGCTTCTTCAAATTTATAGTGTCTGCATGTGGGAGAGAAAGCAGGATAGGCTTCACAGCAGTTGATGCAGCGAGCTTGGGGAGTAGAGCATTCTGTCTTGGACCCTTATCAGGGTCTTCACACAAGGAAAAAAGGGGCACCTTGCAGGACCTTGCTCAAATTTCCAAAATCTATTGCAGAAGCATGAAGAGGGCATGTATTCCAAACTAGAACATCTGGCACTGGCAAGAAAATATGGAAGACAGAAGGGTCCTATTATCAAAGGTAATCTCAACTACTAAAAGGGGCTGACGATCTCGAGGGGAACGGGGGGTTGAATGTTTCAATCTGGAGAATAGAATGGTCCCGAGCCTCGAGGATACATTTAATATACTCATGGTGGTCTTTGATGTCTCTATCTCCAGTTGCAACATAGTGTGTAAAAATGATTGCCAATGCTGGCATTTAATTGGGCATTTTTAGACCCAAACTGGGGTCTCACCAATGCAGGACAACATAGCTAGGTTATCTTGAGGTTATCTTGAGATGATTTCGGGGCTTAATGTCCCCGCGGCCTGGTCCTCAACCAGGCCTCCACCCCCAGAAAGCAGCCCGTAGCAACTGTCTAACTCCCAGGTACCTATTTACTGCTTGGTAACAAGGGCATCAGGGTGAAAGAAACATTTTGCCCATTTGTCTCCGCCTCCACCAGGGATCGAACCTGGAACCTCAGGACTACGAATCCAAAGCGCTGTCCACCCAGCTGTCAGGCACCTGGCTCATGGCTGCCTCCTGAGAAGGGGCCACACCTACATAGGTGCCACTCTATGTGGGGTTAAAAGTAACATAGGTATCTGAAGGGTATCTACTTGTCTCGACTGACGAGCTTTCGCTCGATTAACGAGCAAACCACACGATGCTTCCTAGCGTTCCCGCTGATTCTCAGACGCCTCTGACGACAGTGTTGTTGTTGTTTCGCAAGATGAGCATTTCACATGACGAGCTCGGTGCCAGAATGGATTAAATTCGTTAATCGAGGCGCCAATGTACTTAGGCCACAGGTCAGTCCAAACAAATCATGGAATATAACAGTGTTGGAAGGACATGTGCGAGTTCGTGTGTGGTGCCACACTCCTCCCATTAAGGAAGGTGGGTGAATGACAAAGTTGTAATGACTAAAGATGAAGCCACTCCAGGTGAAAAGATGGTCACTACTAGGGGCTTGGAGCTCAACCCTACCAAAGAAGTGGGAAGGAAATGGTGAGAGTCAGTTGGGAGAGCCAATGAAGAAGCCTGGTCTGGGCCAAACATAGCTGGGACTACGGAGTTCTATCTTCCATCACTGGCTGACTCGGAGGCCTGGTCAGCCACCACAACGAGCCTGTGTTAGAGAAGTCAGTTCAGTTTCCATATAGCATAATTTTCAAAAGTTTGGGTCCCAGAGCCAAGGGATACCACCTACTAGGGCAGCAAGGGAGGCTGAGCACTGGCCAGTGCACGAAGGGCTGTGTCATCCCAAATGGAGCCCCTCCTTTTAAACAGGGAAGTCTTACTGTATCGTGTATTCTCCCACACTAGTGCAAAGACCAATTTCTCCCTCTCAACCCATTGTGCACACCCAATCATCCTCCAAGTGCAGCCCTTCACAGGCAATACTTCTAGTGGTGATCTGTTGACCCAAACAACACCCCTACATTAGGTGGTAATTTAGTTTGTGTAATTTATCACTTACAATGCTCAGAGATGGGTAGGAGAGGCAGAGGCAATCCCACCAGCCTCAGAGAGTCATACGTGATCTCCCTCACCACAACAAGGTAAAACTCTTGAGGGGGGTTAATGTTTACATAAATGCTCGACGAATCCTGTTCCTGGTTACACAAAACAGTTGCATATTTTATGTTTCTGGTTAATCATAACAGGTGCATTTTTTATTGAATGGCAAATGAATGGCTGGGGTTGCAATGCATCCTATACAAATGAGTACATATAGGAACAGTTGAGAATATGTACATATTGGCAGTACATATAGTGAGTGCTGAGTACTGTGTATGTACATATTGGCCGTATATATAGTGAATATACAGTATATGTACATAATGGTAGTACATACAGTGACAGTTACTTAAGTACTTATCAAAAGAAGGCAACTAACTAGGAAGACTATATAGATAGTGACTTGAGTGCATTTACATAATGAAAGTACAGTACAACCAATCACTGTTGAGTGTATGTTACCTTGGTATGGTTCAGAGGTTCAACTTCCTCGTACCACTGTCTTTGACCAGGCCTCCTGGTAGCTGGACTGGTCAATCAGGTTGTTGCATGTGGTTCCTCGCAGTCTGATGTGTTAATCACAGACTGGTTGATCAAGTATCCTTTGAAGGTGTTTATCAAGTTCTCTCTTGAACACTTGTGAGGGGTCGGACAGTTATGCCCCTTATGTGTAGTGGAAGTGTGTTGAACAGTCTCAGGCCTCTGATGTTGATAGAGATCTCTTTCAGAGTACCTATTGCACCTCTGCTTTTCAACTGGGGTATTTTGCACATTTTGCCATGCCTTCTGGTCTCATGTGGTGTTATTTCTGTGTGCATATTTGGAACCAGTCCCTCTAATACTTTCCAATCGTAGATAATCATGCATCTTCTGCCTGTGCTCAGAAAAAACAGATATAAACTTTCTAAGTGGTCGCAATAATTTAAACATTTCATCAAGTGGATTCAGACAGTAAAAAAAACCTTTGCACGTTCTCTAGGTCAGCAATTTCTCTGGATCTGAATGGGGCTGTTAGTGTGAAACAATATTCCACCCTAGAGAGCACTAGCGTCTTTAAAACAGTCATTGATATGGCTTCTCTTGTTTGGAAAGGTCTTGTTATCCAAGAGATATATTTCTTGTAGTTTGACGGCTACTTTATTGTGTTCTTTAACTCTTAAATCTGTTATACTGCTTTTTCGTTCCTAAGTGTGACTTACTTGACTGCGTTTCTTCCAAAGTGCTGAAGCTGGAACATCTTCATTATATATAATTTTCCATGGCCCAATGAAAGACCTGATTTATATCAGTTTGAAGGTTTGCTGTGTCCTCTATGTTGTCTACCCCTTATATAAATCCTAGTGTCATCTGCAAAGGATGATACAGTACT